TGTGAGCTGTCACATACGTGAACTTGCTATCCTTGTGAAATTTTGACTTTAATCATCAAGCTAATCACTTTTCATCACTTTTTTTTTTTTTGTTAAAGAAATAAATCTGTCTGGCCAGACCCTTTCTGGACTATGTTGGAAGCAGACGAGTTAGGTTATGAGCACAAGAGACAGTTCCCATTATTTCTAAATGCATTCTGTCCCTTTTGTCTTTTTATTTGTACTGTACAAACATGCTATATTAGCCAGAGCTTTGCAGCTGCTGGCTGCTCCTCAGCCACAAGATGCAAACACACTTGCTTGCCTTGTGATTCTTTATCACTGGAAGTAAGAATGTGTGATGTGACCCCATAAGAATTTCTGTTCCTTAATACACCCATTTGTTTTCTTTCTTTGTGAAGTTATAAAACTGTTGTTCCCTTGTCAAGTGTGGCAGGCTGAATCCTTTTGGCAATTTTATCAGGATGGGCCATAGCCACTGTGTGGATGAAGGGAGTGGTCAGCTGCACAACAATTATGGTGTGATATGACAAAAATGAAAATTTTGCAGCTGGCAGCATGTAATCCCTGCCTCCCTCCTACTTCTTTGGCTCCATCCTGCTTAAATCTATTCTCATAACTCTGGATTTTGAGTTATGCTCTATGCATGTACAAGCATGATATGCTGAAATGTCTGACTATTTCATCCCCTATCTGCCTAGTTAGAAAGAAAAAAAAATTGCTTTTTTAAGTCTTTCCATGAGGCTTGCTTATGGCATACCAAGTAGAACTGCTTCTCTGAATCACCAAGGCATAGACAGAATAAGATGACAAGAGATACCAGGTTTGTGAGAGAAGGCTGGAACAACAGCTCAAAGGAAAGACTCAGCTGGGAAAAAACCAAGGACATGGTGACTCAGTATTGCTAAATGGAAAGAAAACAGAGAAAGGAAAAAGAGATTGATAATCGCATACATTTCTGATGGGGAAATTAAATGAATGGTATAAATACAGAAACTACAAATTATAACTTGTTGCACTGAGTATATAAAATAACATTTGTTCACCAAAACGAACATTTGCTGAAGGCATTTCCATTTCTTTGGCCTTGAAACACAAAACTCACCAAATTCAAACAGTCCTTTAATGGTAGGTAATCTATTCACACACTTCTTATTTCTGATCCACTTGAGAAATTATGTATGGCTGATGTTTGAATGCACAAATGCCAAGGTTTGAATGCAGAAATGTCAGTGTTTGAGTTAATAGAAACAGTTGAACATCACATGGTGAAGCAGAAACATTATGTGGAAAGTACCATAGTGCAAAAATGGTTGTTAATTCACTTTCATTTCTGACAACTGCAGTAATTTTTCATATAGTAATTCCAGAAGTCTTTCTCTTATCTTAGCAAATGATGGTGACACAGTCTTTATTTTGACTGCACTTTACAATAAGCTTATAACAACATGCATTAAAAACCAAAACAAGGAGTAGGCATTAAAAACCAAAACAAGGAATAGGTATTAAAAACATACCATACAACAAACTGCCTTCCAAAAGCAACAGTAATGTTTGTCATTTCAGAATTCTGCTAGTTTCAAGTGCAACCTGCCACAGCCGATCCGGTCTCAGTTCTGTGGGATTCAGGGTCAAGACGAGGACCCTGATGTGTACCTTGTGCAGATTAGGAACTCTGCAGATCCTGTACATGCCACATAAATTACAAGTTGCTGTATTTGCACCGTTTCCAGGTGCTTGAGCAGAAGACACATGGGTGGCAAGAATTTCTAGATCCATTCTCCCTTGCTACACCTTCATTTGGAGGCATTATGTACTCTTCCCTCCTCCCCCTGCCCCAGCTGCTTGTGCTCAGGCATTTCTGGCTTCTTTAACAGCCAAACATTCACACTGGGCCATACCCTCCACTTGCTGCCACACAGCCCTCTGTGAGAGACATGGTTACACACGGAGTGTTCTGTTCAGAAACCTTACAAGCAAACATTCTTCAACTTAAGCAAAGGAAGGAATATTCACTCTGTGCACCAAGCACGTCCTAATGGTACTGGGAAAAGACTCTTAGGCAGCTCTCTAAATGCTTATCTAAAATACTCTCATGTTTTACTTCTGAGAAGAAGTAAAATTTACCAGAACTTTTTCTTGTAAAAGGTTTTTTATTCACTGAAAATGGCTATGCAAGTATTTTCCTTTTCTAATTAGCTGCATCTATGAAAACTTGATGAGCAAGTATGTGTTCAAAAAGGAGAGCAAATTCTACTTTGTAAGAAGAAACAGCAAGCAAGAATACACAAAATGTATCCAGAAGGACCACACATCTGATGGCTGTGATGCTGTGACCATCTGGAACTGCCACTTCTGATCTTGCAAAGCATGGCCAATGTTTACCAGAGGAGAACCACAGTACTTGAAATCATTAGTAACAACTCAAACGAGAACAAAAGGGTGCCGAGAAACTTTAAGTGAAAAATCACCTTAGGAAGTGAAGCTTCAGGCTTCCAAACGGTGAGAGGAGCCCAGGCTCGGCCGGGAGCTGGGGCAGCACGCTGCGGCCAGGCGGGATGCTCACCCTTCAAGCTCTGGCTCTGCTGCCCCAGGTTTTTCCCCAGTGACACAAACAATCGCACGCCCCTCTCCCTTTAAACGCCTCCATTCCGCAGACCTAGCTATCGACCCACTTTTATAGAGAAACGTGCTGCTATTCTTTCTCTTACATCATGCTTTCATTGGAGATTCCGAGCTCCCGGTTCAGCAAGCGCGGGGAGAGCCTCAAATACCCAGGGACTCCAGGCAAAAACACCCGCTGCGTGCTCGCACGAGCAGCTTCGAGCCCGGCACGGCTCTGCCGAGCAGGAAGGGACGTCGTCGCGACCTCGAAGAGGCGCTGCCGGCCGGCAGAGCCCTTCCGCGGGAGGCTGCGGGTCTGCGGAGCTCGGGGAGAGGCTGCCCCGCTGCCTCGCCGCTCAGCCCGGCGAGGAGCTCGGGGAGCAGCCTCGATCGCGCCCCCCTCCCGGCTCCCCCGGAGCGGCACTCACCGGACAGAACGGGCTCGCGGCAGCAGCTCAGCGCCAGCCCGGAGAAGGCCAGGACGGCGGCGAGGGCGGGAGGCTCCATAGGCAGCGGCCGCCGGGCCGCGCCGCGCTCGCAGGCGGCAGCCCCGGCTCTCCGGGGGTGGCAGGCGGCCGGGAAGAGCGCAAAGTGCGGGAAGCGGAGGCCCTACAGCATGTGTCCTGTAAGTGCGCCCCGGCGAGGTGCCGAGTGGCAGATGAGGGATCCTATTACCAGCCATGTGACAGGAAAGGATAGAGACCGACATCCCAACCTGCTGCAGCGCGGGACCGCAGGGCTGCCGCTTCCACTTCTGACACCGACAGGTTCGGGCTGGTGGTGTTCGCCCCGGGGCAGCGCTTTGGCCCCGCCGAGCCCTCCTCGCTAGCCGGGACGCCTCGCTACAAACACACACAGACTCCTCCATCCTAGCAGCGACCCAAGCCGCGCTCTCGTCACTCCCCTCGTACCCAGTGTCCCGCGGAAGAGGTCGGGCAAGAGCCCGTCAGCCCCGTGGCCTGGAGCTGCCGGCCGCTGCCCCTGCCCCGCGCACGCCCTCCGCCCGCCGGGCTGCCCTGGAGGTGTGGGAGCCGATGGGCGAGCGCAGGTGCAGCCCGGCTCTCCTCTCCTGAAGCCGCGAAGGCACGGACGGACACGGCACAGGGAGAGAACGCCGCAAACTTTCTGAGGGACGCGGGCATGAGCGGCTCCGCGGGCGGCGAGGTGCTAGAGCCGCACGCTGCCTTTTGGGGCGTCGTTCTAAAAGTGAAAAGGCACCAGCCGCCCCACAGATGTGACCGGGCTGCGGAGCCGTGCTGAGGGAGCGCTGGCAGAAAGCAGCGCGGCTGCCGAAGCCGCCCTGTCCCCCGTAGGCCGCGTCCCGAGGCGGGCGGAGCTGAGGCCGGGCGGGGGCCGCTGTGGCAGGATGAGGCACAGGGACCGCCGCACAGACAGCAACACAGACAGCCACACAAACAGGAACACAGCCGCACAGACAGCCACACAGACGGGAACACACAGCCACAAAGACAGCCACAGGAGCCCTCCACGCCCAGAGACCCGGGACACTGGCGGGCGGGCACGGACACGGGGACGTGAGGGGACACCCACGCCTACAGCGCACACACACCCAGAGCGACAAACACAAACACAGCAGCTCCCCAGCCGAAAGGAGCATCGTTGCTTTCTGAAAATGCACGTGCAGAAAGATAGGGTTTGGGGTTTTGGTTTGTTTGGTTTGGGTTTGTTTGTTTTCATCTACCTGAAGATACCAAAGTGTCAAGGTGGTAATGTCAAGCAGTCGTCTAACTTCTACAAAGTCCCTACTTGGCCCGTGAGACATTTTAGCAATGGTAGAACAGCTTTGCTAAGAAGCAACCAACATGGAAAAAACCCCCACACTAACAGTTAAAAAAGCATTTAAAAAGTTGCTTTGTCAGGAACAGAAACAGGGCAAACATCCTTTGTACAAGGTACATCCTTGTACCCCCTTTACAACACTGCTGTGTAATCAAATAGCAACCCATACAGGCAGAGAACAATTTGCTATTCTGAAGAGGAACAATCAAAATACAGTTCGTAGGCCTTATCTATTGTATCAATACACAGTGTGGATGCATCTCACTTTTAGCATACAGAAATCTCCTTCCATATGAAGCTGTAAGGTTGATTTTGAGGAGGGAAATGTGCTTACATTTCTTTTGGCCATTGTAACACATATAGAAAGCAAAAAATGGTCTTCATGTAGTAGCATGGCTTTACACATAAATTTTAATATCACAGCATAGTATGCCACATTCTTATTTCTTTGAGCTGAATTCGTAGTGAATGTAGCATTTTTAAGTGATGAAATACTGAAAAACAATAGCAGTGTTCTGTTAGCTTGGCACTGTGGGTTTTTTTTGTGACAGGTTCAGAAGTATTTAGTTCTTCCTCACACGTACAGTCTTCTTTCCAAGGGCCGTAACCCCATTTTGTTTCCATTCACTCAATTTCGATTCCATTTTATCTGGCATTCTATCACTTGTGGACACTGGAACAGAGAAGGCTTAAAAATTTGTAACAGTTGCTAACAAAGTTCAGAAAATCAACCACATCTCCATTTCAATCCACCAGTATTCCTAGGCAAAACCATTTTCATTCACTATGCTGCCCTCTTTCCCCACCAGTCAGTTTCACATACAGTTGTTCAGTGTTTATACATCAGTTGCGCTTTTTTTTACCTGTAGCACACTGGCAGTTTGTTGCCAGTTGTCATTATTAAATAATTATTTAAAAAGTCATAACAGTTGCTATTTCTTTAGGAGGTTCATTTGTGTTTTCAGTTCAGTTAAGGCTTACCTCTTCTTTCTGCATAAATAACCCAGACGTCCCAGGACTGCAAGGCCGACTATTCCAAATACACTGCCAATAACAATTACTTGTTTGATACCTGAAAAAAAGAGACCAACCACAAAAAAACCATGAAGGCTTTTCTACACATTTCTTCATATCTGTTTGAATGCAGTCACATGACAATTTTTGAAATGGTACAAATAGTGCTAATTTTTCTGTTCTCTTTATTTGAGGAACTGCCTCCCTTGGCAGTGGGATTGCACTAAATGATGTCCAGAAGTCCCTTCCAACCTTTCATCCTTTCAGATTCTCTGAAACTGGTAAAGATTAGGAACTCACAGAATTCCTACATTTGATTGTTAGGGCAGGTGGCTGCAAAAGCTTTCTAACACAAAGGGTGGCTAGTGGTTAATATGTAGTCAACATTTTGCATGTGCAATATTGACATGGAACTGTCAATCCCAACTGAAATGGTTTTCAATCCTTATTCCATATGGTTTGACTACTTTAAATATTTACCCCTATTTTGGCATTAAATTTTCAAACTACCTTTGCTGCTTAATAATCTACATAAAAGAGAAGTGACTGCTCTGATGTGGGTACATTGAACTGCATCAGAGAGTTTGAACACACTAAAACACGAAAAGTGTCAACTTGATTCTGTGACTGCCTAACAAGGACACCTGAAAGACAGAAAGAAACCAGATATGAAACAAATTTTGAATAAAAATTATCATTTTGTTTTCTTATTCTTCTAAGCAGTGGCAGATTACCATGACACATAAGAATATTTTTAAAAGTTAGGAGATGCAGCATGTGGAGTGAACTGTCTGGGAGAAACAAAAATTCCTACATTTTGTATCTGAGCCTTAATACATCAGGGCTGCATTTCTGTCAGCCTTCCTTCCTTCCATCACTTTGTCACACCCGCCCAACCCACAGCCTAGCACACAGTGATGGCAGAGTGGCAGAACAGACACTTCTGTGATCCTAGAACAGATTATTCAGCTGGTAATTTAATTTATAATGAAGCTTAAAGAAAGAAATGGGATACATAAACTGTTTCATAAGCATTGGTCCATCATCCAGTAACTTCTGAACAAGGCTTAATGTTTGTTTTACACATCCTTCACTGGGAGGCACCCAGTCTCTGCCAAGTGATGAGAACCCACCACTGGCTAAAGAAGTTAGTCCAGTAGTGATTTGCCTCTGTTGTGAAATCTTTGTGTTTAGAAAAAGCACAGAAGACTAATGAGATTTCTGACAGCTTTTCAAAATGAACAGCATTTACACAGAGCCTGAGACTGGAAAAGGAAATCTAAAAGTGAATAGAGGATGGGGGAGAAAGGAGAAAGTAACCCAAAAGACAAACAAAACTAGATTGCCCTTAACATCTCCATATTGTCTGTCTCAGAAAGACTGTATGTACTTATGTTGCCACTATCTTATGATTTTTAGCTGGATATTACATCTCATTTTACTAGAATCTCCTTTTTGCATTTGCTGGATGGCTTCTTTGTTCTTCCTCTTTGTGATATTCTGTGAAGAGAGCTTGCAGTGGTACTGGCAAGACTTGCAGTGGGATTGTAATTAGAAGCATAGCAAAATAATTATTAGCAGAGGATTTCCATGGAAACTTTAGTCCAAGGAAGCAAAACTCAAAAACAACAATATGCAGGCCCAAAAACATAATTTGTATTTGAAGTTTCGAAACACCGAAATGGATTATGTAAAATAACTGGCATTACATTTTCTTGTTTCCACCTCTTTTCCCATCCAATTTTCATGGTTCCCATGCCTTTATTTTAAATATTCTCTTTTGAAAAGGCATATAGCAACTAAAAAAACCTTGATGATTTGCATGACAGAGCTTGAATTTGATGTGCCACAAAACTGCAGCCCTGTAAAGAAATACACCTGTAAGCTTGGAATAACAGAGGGCTGGGCCCTGTGCTCCTGACCAGCATGAAAGAAATAATTTGACAAAGTGTGTGTTTGATAGTTCACTTTCAAAGTAAAAAAGTGACTGCTGATCACAGTGGCTAGGTCTGTGGTCACCCATTCAGGCACCCAGAAATCGGGAGGGGCTGTCCGTTAATTTTGTCAGGTTTAGTCATTAATTTTTCTGGTTTCAAGAAGGTCTTTGTCACAGGACTTGATAAAATGGATGTTGGTGAAACAGCAGCATGCTGCTGTGTAAAGAGAAAAACAATAAAGAAAACTGACCTCAGGAACAACAGATTTTGACAACACAAGGACCTCTTCTGTTCTGGAGAAGAGAAGGTTTGGGGGATGGAGAGTAGAGAAAATAGCCAAATAGAGAAGTAAGACAAGGAAAACTGGTCCTGGATTTCAGCTGTGTCTTGGACCAGAGGCAGAAATGTATTTAGTGGAAAGCAAGCACTAGCTGTCCATGCTATAAAAATATGAGTAGTTTAGATATTAGTGAAAGGAACTTTGAACTGTATTGCCTCTCTTCTCTGTAGAGACCTGGGCCTGTCAATAAAATAGCATTCTCAGACAAACACTGACATCTAGCAGAACACCTTATGGAAGAAGGAGAAACAAGGCTAGCTGTAAATGCCACTAGTAGGGCATAGCAGTAAGAAAAAAAGAATGGAGAAATTTGTATTTTATATTGTGTTGCTCAGTTGTTGGTGTTGTCAGTATCCTGCTGCTGTGGACAGCATTGCCATACTCCAACTTCCTGCAGCTAATAGAAACCATCAATTTTGGTTCACACTGCAAATGAACTAGAACACCAAATATCAAATAGTAAGGAAGATCTTTGTTGTAATAAGATCAATAAAATTCTTTCACACCTTGTTTCTCTTTGTCACCTTCCAGGAAAGCATTGGAAAACATTGTGGGTTTTGTTTGCTTATTCACAAAGCTGTGTCATGTCTCCATCCTTCTGAATGTAATCACTGCATATCTTCCAGCTCCTTTCCTCTGATCTCACAGGGCTGCCTTTCTGTCCCCCTTTTGCTAGTGTAAATGTCAGCATCTGTTTTGCTTATTGAGACTGACTGGCTTTTATCCAGTATGTATGTGGTTGATGGCAGCAGTGGAAAAATATTCTTAGCTTTCAGCTTGGCAGAAAGTTTTGCCATTGCCTTTTTAAGATCTGGCCTTTGTGAATTTTTCTGCTGCCCAAACTCACTGCAGTTCATCTTACAAATATTACTAAGTTCAAATATTTACTAACTCACTGCATGGCAAATGTACAAGCAATTGGTACAGGCAGCAGAGGCTGATGAAATGTGCCAGCATGACAGGAATTCGTTGCTGATGTGAAGCGCACTTTCCACATTTCTTTGGAAGGGTCTTAGAATGTAGAATCTGTTAGTATGAATTATTTGATGAGTGCTTTTGGGAGCTATTAACTCAGCATTGAAAGTGCTTCAACATGCCATCTGGCCTTGCACCACCCTGGTGCTTTGAAATATTGCCATCTTGAGGACATTTGGAGTCTATGTGGTGAATGAATAAAAAGAAAATTTTGGGCTGTTTTCTGTAAATCATAGAGACAGCCTATGCTACTAAACTGCTACTAAATCCAAGAATCCCAGGCTAACTGATAATCTATTAGTAGTAACACAAGAGGGGGAATAAATCTATGTTGTTTATACTAAATACTATTGCATCATTCACAATACTTTTACTGCTGTAGAATAATAGAATTATATTTTGAGATAACATAATCTTTTAGAAAAAAAAAGAGTGAAAGGGTTCAACAAGTGTGGGCTGTGTCTGCTCTTGAATCACAGAATCACAGAAGAGTGGAGGTGGGATGGGACCTCTGGGGGTCATTTTGTCCAACTCCCCTGTTCAAGCAGGACCACCCAGAGTGAGTTGCCCAGGACCATGACCTGACAACTTCTGAATATCTCCAGGGAGGGAGACTCTGGAACTTCTCTGGGCAAGCTGTGCCAGTGCTCAGTCATCATCACAGTTAAAAAGGGGTTTCTATTGTTCAGAGGGAAGCTTCTGTGTTTCAGAGCATGCCTGTGGCCTCTTGTCTTGTCCCTGAGCACTACTGCAGAAATCCTGGCTCCATCCCCTTTTCACCCACCCTTCAGGTACCTGTACCCACTGATAAAACAAAAACTTTAATACCTCCACCAGAATGCACAAAACCACCATAAGTCACCTGTTATTTAGATTTGATTAATAGTTTTTCTACAAATATAGACATCTCATGTCCAATGTTTTACCAAGTAAGAGAAGTTGCTTTTGTCAAGGGCCATCATGGTGTACTGAGATTGCCTTGTCCTTGATAATGATTTTTCAGTGACAATATGTGATATTTAAAAGGCAACAGACCTGTTACTGGGCTGCACTGGGGTGTGTCTCCTGACCAGGCTCCTGACACTTGGCAAGTTCTTTCCTGTGACCCTCCTGTGAGTTCATAGCCCTCATTGCAGCTGAAATTGATGGTTGAGCCCAGCAGGTAGTTAGTATTATTCTTTCTTCCATTGGTTGGATGATCCAGCCAGCCACAAGAGATCACTAATAAAAGAGACATATTTGGTTAGAGTATTTAGGACTTAGACCAGCAAACCTCCATTACAATGATTCAAACAGCATTTTAGTGGCAACTCATGGAAAAACAAAGATTTTTAGGCTATCTGAAAGACAGTATTTCCTGCTACTTTTAAAATTTATTTTGATGTCCAAGGAAGACAGCTTAATGTATATAAAATGAAGATAAATTTTCTATGCTGTGGTGTTACAGTGGAAGAAATGGAAAGAAATTTATTTTGAGTTTGCCTAAGTATTCTATCAGTACAGAGATTTCCTGGTACAAAGATGATTCCCCATGATCAGATTATTTATAGGTGCATGAACCTACAGTTAAGCAAAGCCTCCTCATAGATGCCCTGTAGGAATAACTGTGGTGATGCTCCCTATGGGCTGTTCACTTAAGGTTTGGACTTGATGATCCCAGTGGGTCCCTTCCCACTCAGAATATCCTGTTATTCTGTAATGATGTTTTGTGGAATACTGTATCACCTGGCTCTAGATGTTCTACCAGCAGCTTGTGATTCTGATGGGAAAGTCTTGTGGAACTTCCCACTGGAAGGCTTCTTGTGGTCAGGACATCAAATCTGCAGAATGGGTCAGAGCCACAGTGTGAGACCATCTCTTCTAGCAGGGGATCAGCAGGGTCCTCATGAGGGGAGAACACGGGCAGAAAGGAGGCATTGTGCTTGTCCCCATGAACGAAACTGTTCAGTAAGAACTCCGTGTCATAAGTAAAGAGAGAAGTTCCATTTTCAATTGCCCCTTGAGAGACAGAGACAGAAAGAAAGATTCACATGTAACATTGCCAACTAGACTACCTTCTGCTATTAATCCAGGTGTTTATCTACAGAAATGTGGCTGGAAGAGATATAGGAACAAAGTGCTGAACACTCCATCATGGTTCTGTTTTCACTCCCCACATGGGTAGAGGAGGGCATATTTATCTTACTGCCTTCTCTTCCCCCAGTACTGGTTGCTTGGCATAGACTTCATTTCCTAGTCCTTAAATCATAAGCTGTCTTAAATATGTAAAGAAAATGTAATAATAGACCATAGAAATTACTTACAGCTAGCTCCAAATTCAAACACCTGCTGGGGACTTGCATGAACTGACATGGTGGTTTTATTCTTGAAGGTGTAGTCATCCTCTGGATTGCCATTCATTACCCCAAAGAGACCCCATGTGTGATTCGTAAACTCCTCTGGGAGCAGAATTGTCAGGGTCAGAAATCCTCCAGTTCCCCTTATTTCCACTCCAGCCCCAGAAGAGAACATCACTGTGATGTTCTGATCAGGTGTAGAATAGAGAAAGAGACCTATAACGAGAGGAAGAGGACAAAATAGCTAATTATCCACAGTGAAAAAATTGTTGTGTTTTAGCATCAGTTTAAATCATCAGTTTTAACCATTTTTCATACAGCTTTTCCTCCCCTCCACTCTGAGCTGCACTCTGAGAACATTTAAAGGGAAGCCACACCTTCACTAAGTTGTGATTAGATGGCTACTAGAGAGTGGCAGCAAAGAGATGTCCACTGTTGATGTAAGATGTCTCCTGCCACTGTCCCAGCCCAGAAGCTTAAAGATATGAGATGTTCATATCAGAGAGTGCCTGTGAGCTGGAAGCACCACTGTCAGTGGGCACAGTTTTCCTCTCCTTCTCCCTTGTCTTGTCAACACCTCCCTAGTATGGCTTCTTCTCCAGGCCCCTCAATGTCCTTTTCATTTTTTTTCCTCCCTGCATCTCTGCTTCTGCAGCTCCTTGTCAGTGTAGCCTTCCACCTGCTCTTCAGCCATGTGAGGAATACTGATTGCTAGCCACAGAAATGTTCCTCTGCTGAATAGGGGGATTACTGTTAAAATGGAAGTGATGTATGATGAGTATTTGTCAAATTATCATTAAAAGTAATCAAACGATCACAGCCCTGTTGGACAAAAAGTCAACTTTTTGTCTTTTTGTCTTTTCAGTCTTTTTGGCAGAAGAACAGAGGAATAATATCTAACCTATTGAGAGAGCTCCCAAGAGGTAAATATGAAATGGAGTTATATTTTAGCATATATTTTACTTATATTTCACTATATTTCATTTCATTTGCTAGGCTTCATTGCATTAGATGCAGTAAGCTCAAAGCAGAATGTAAAGGACAGATTTAATTCCATTCACTGTCTTCAGGATGAGGAGGAAAACCACTGCTCTACAAACAGGTGAGAGAGGACATAGAAACCATGGACACTGGAGCCACCTGTTAGAACGCTTGACAAAAGGATGCTGAAAAAAGAGTTGAAATGCATGCACCTAGAGACACTTTTAACTGTCCATGGGCTCCATCAGAATGAGAGGCTGATATGTATAACTAACCTTTCAAGTCCATCCAGGTTTGTTCAGAGAAGCTGAGAACCCTCTGGTTCAGGAGGACCTCCAGGTGCAAATCCTCAGAGTAGCGCACTTCAATCACATCAGAGCTGTTCTCCTGCATGGCCACTGCAGACAAGCCTGTCCCCTGAGCCCCAGTTCCTTCCAAATGAAAAAAACCAACACTGCTATCAAAATGTATCAGCTGGCAGCTGTGCCTATTGCCTGATTTCAAGAACTGGCCTTATGTTTCCTTATTGATGAGAATGAGCATGGAGAGAAATAAGAATTTTTTTGGAGCTCTTAAACACAGTGGAAAAGTTTACACTTCCATTACTCACACCCAATAAAACTAGCAATTAAACTTTGATTGGGAAGTTTTTCCTGAAGATGTCTGCTTTCTGATTATCTTCAGAATGGTGACTGTTCACAAATGGCCAAACAAGAAAACTAGAGACAACAGAGACGACAGGAGGATTGCTGCTAAGTACAAATCAAGCAAATATCAAATCTCAGTTCTGCAAATCTCAGAAGTTCAGAAGCTCTGCTTCCTCTCTTATCAACTTACCATTGGAAAAGTGTGCCTGCTGTGTCCTCCCTTGCACTCTCAGGGATGTGAGATCAGACTCTACCAATGTGTATTCTCCTAGGCCATTGAAGGTGAAGTTCAGACCATCAAATGTAAAGAAATGAGGATCCCCAAAAGCAGATGCTATTTTTAAAAGCAAAAAGAGAATTAAGAACAAGCAAAATTCACAACCTGTTACTCCTCAAGTTCATGAGAAAGGAAAGAGGCTAGAAGTCTGCATCACATGCAATATATGGGGAGATTTGGACATGAATACAGGGCCATCGCCTTATCTTAGCATCCATATCCTTTGCACCCTTATCCCCTTTTGCACTTCCAACTTCCATGTAAATTGCTCCAAGTTGCTTCTAATTTACCTTCTTTTGTATGCTTTAATCTGTATAGTAACTAATACAATGCACCTTGCCATCAAGTTGTAAAGTTGTATTTTCACAAATTCAAACTCTGCTTCTGCCAATACTTTTGATGGGGTTTCTTTAAGCAGCCAGACCACCCATGCATGACCCCTAACTACCTAATGCTAGGCCCTCTGCAGTTTTCTCCTTTTTTCCTGATGCAAGCCACTGCCTCTTTGCACTTCTTTGTGGGAGGCCAAGTCCTGCTGGACACCTCATAGAAGGCAAAATGTGGTAGCAACAGAGGTATGGCAAGATCTGATGACTGAGTTAAAAGCAAGTGAGAGAAAACCAGACGCATTGTAAATTGTAAAACTTTCTTATTTGATATGAATATTTCTCATCATGATAGCTTTTCTAGCTACTTTCTACCTGTCATTAACCATCTCTAGCCACCTTTTTTTCTGAAGAAGTCCACACTGATGATATAAAGCCGTGGACATTGACTACTATGCTTTGACTATTTAGGTTCCAGGGGTGAGTGAGATGCTCAACCGCAGAAAATCTTGCAGCACAATTAAAAAACCCATACAGATTTTATAAGTGATAGATCAATAGAAACCTCCCATGGAATTTTTCCACAGGACATTGTACCCTCATCATTGTCAACTCATATATACACATGTAGAAATATTCTAAAAGCCAAGACTGTATGAAAAATCTACACTCCATAAGGAAAGTCTGGAGCCCTTACCAGCTCGGGGAGGGCGGTACGTCCTGCAGTCACTAGAGGGCCGCCTTTTCATATAGAAGTCACAATTCTCAGACCACAGGCAGCAGTAATAGAAGCTGATAACATCATAAAGCCAATGGGAAAAGCCAGGTATCCGAGGAGGCTTCAAGAAAGGTGGCGAACCCCAGTCATGTCCTCGATCAGGTGTGCTGCCTCCGGTGGAGTCGCGTGTGAGGATTTGGGTTCCCGTGGAGTCATAGCAGCACTGCTGGCCAGCCCCATACTGGGGACTGATTGAGAAAAGCAGCAAGAAAATCATCATTTAGCTCTGTGGGGTCCGTTTCTATTTAGGGGTTGCTTACTGACTTTTTATGGATACAGCTGAATATTTCGTTTGCCAAACTCTATCTGATGTACAGTTAGACTTCACCCCTGATTCTGTGATGCTGCTGTCTCTGGGGTAAAAGGATTAATCAAAAAAAATGCAGTTTAAAAATGTACTTTACCTGGCTTGAATAGCTCTTACACAATGCACAGCACCAGGATGATAAGTACACACGCTCCCCTTTTCAATATCACAGCCATAATCTGTCTGAAAAAGATCAATGTTCACACTTAATGGGGTTCTTTCCTCATTGTCCTTTCTGTTCTTACATTCTGTTCCCACCCTTTGTATCTGGCATGTGTGTTAAATTGACATGAACTGCTTAAGGTTGTGTTGAATAGCGTGGAATGATAGGAAAAATAGTGAATTTAATACTCAAGTGTCTGGAGCAACATGTCTGACCTGAACATTTTGTAGTCTGTTACAACAGACCTTGAAGAACAAATGCAGCCAGATGGGATTCAAGTGTAAGTGTACAACAAACACAGACACAACAGAGTAAATGTTTATTCTGTGTTCTTAGACAGAGGCAGTAGATCTATTCTTTATCTTCACAAGCTTTTACACATTATGTTTGGAGCTTCATAACCAGAATAGTAACAATGTTTACCTTTTTTTTTTTTTTTAATGCATAAACACATGCCACCATTTGGTCCCATAAATAGGAGAGGAAGTCACTCTCATCTGGTCCTCAGATCAGCAGTGTAAGTGAAAGTGTAGACTGAATGGCAATTGATTTCTTAGCTTTTGTTAGTTCCTTGATAACAGTGAAACTGAGAAGGAGGAAGGAAGCAGGATAAATGAAATAATGGATTACAGCTCTGGGCTTGAGTTCTGAAGTATAAGGCAGAAGGGTTTGCAGCAAAGTGTGATGAACTAGGCAGAAATAGTTTGTCACAGCATGGAATATCATCTTCAAACACAGACTGTGATCTTGTAGGATCTCAAAGAAGCCATCCCTGCTCCCAGCTCCTCAGAGTGTTTACAGTCTACTATTGGAACTACTGTTTTAATTCCCTGTTTGAATGTCATTTCCATCTCCTATTCTATAGACACTTTTATTCATACTACCTAGATAAGCTGTATTTACCTCTGCCATTTGATATGCTACTTGGGCAAATTTAAATGTAACTTAATTTCTTTCATGATGTTTAGAGAGGGAACAGGGGTGTGTGTGGAGTTTGGCACTCCTTAAGCTTCCACCTGGAATTGAAATAAGCCAGAGGGATCAAGTAATAACTTACGTGGAACCTGCCAGTGTCAGCTCTTGCCTGTGCCAAGGTGCAAGGGCAGTCTATAATCTCTTCCAGGAAGTTTGGAAGCAACTCTTCCTTTCTGTCCCATTCCATACATTTTGCAGTTGCCCATGCTTTTGGGTCATTTCTGAAGGTTTTCTCAAGGTGCCAAGCCAATGCATGGTCTGAGCTCCAGATTGATGGAATGTTGCTGGGGGGTGGGGGGAAAGAGAAACAAAAAATAGGTCTGATAGCTGAACAAGCACTATTTTGACAGTAGCACTGTGGCTCAATTGCTAATTATAATTAAAAAGCATATTTTGACTTTTAAGTTATTTCATTGCAAAGCCCACTGCTTTCTTTTTCCTTCAAAAAGTTATGGCAAATCAAAATTTTCCAAATTCAGGAGGTGACAGGACAGCATGCAGCAAGTATGCAGTAATCACAATCTATTTTAGAATCATGATTCTGACTTACATGGATCCTTTTAGAGGAAGGTTTTGCATTCATGCCTTTTGACATTGCAATTTCATTAGGCCAGAATGAAGAATATCTGGATTCTTTAACAAAACATAACAACTGCACCCCAGCAATATCAGGACTAATGGCTACAGAAACCATTCAGAATCCTTGAAATGTTTCAAAGCCACTCTGCTTTTCCCCATGAAAAAAAAATCTTAACAAAGTGTAATAAAAAACCAAAACCCTCTAGAAGGAGAAAAGGTTATCCTTGTCTGGGTAGCAACTCCTAAATGTTCAAAAAGGTTTTGACATTTTAGCAATATGTTGTAACACTGAAGAGTTGGCATTAATATACTCACAGAGTCTACACTATCTACATCAAACCTGCAGATATGGAAGAATTATGAAGGAATATCCATGGAGCACTTACACAGGTAGTTCACCAAAAATCATGGGGAAATATGCAATGAAAAAAAAGAAAATGGGCATAAAATTTGAAGGAATGCAAAAAACCTGCACACAAAATAGAAGAGGAAGGCCTGTGGCTGCAGTGACTGAAGTTCTACAATTAGGGACTCCTCCACAGTTGTGACAAAACAAAAAAATCAGCAGATCCTAGTCTGGTGACAGCATGGGCTTGGCTGGAGTAATTTTCTTCACAGCAGACACGTTTTAGATTTGTGACCAAGAGAGTGCTGATAACACACCAGTGTTTTATCTCCTGCTGGCATGGTGTCAAGGTCTTCTCTGTGTCTCATGCTGGCCCCAGGGAGAAGGCCAGGAGGGAGCACAGCTGTGACAGCCAACCCAAACTGACCAAAGGGATATTCCATGCCCTAGACCAGCATGTCCATCAATAAAACTGCAGGAGTGCTTTTCTAAAACAGCCCTTACTGGGTGACTGACTGTGCATCAGTCTGCTCGTGGTAGACTTTATGATTCTTCCTCCATGCTCCTCTTTACTTAGTAAACTGTCTTTATGTTGACCCATGAGTCTTTCTCACTTTTGACCTTCCAGTTTTCTCCCCATTTTTTCCCATTAAATGGAGCCTGAGTCTCAGTTTTGGAATGCCAAAGGAGACAACAGCTTATAAGGTAGCTATTATTATCATCATTATTATTATTGTTATTGTTGTTATTATGTTGTTGTTGTTGTGATGCACTTGCCTCTGCCCATCAAAATAGTTGCTGGGTATAATTCTCAAAATTCCATAGTCCCAAGTACTGTAATTTCCTTCGGCAGGTACAGGAATGAAAGAATATTTCCCTGTATTGGGGGTTTCTCTTGCCAAAGTATAAAGGTATTTCCATTCACCCCTCCAGTTTTCTGAATAACTGTCACCTGTCAGATAGAGGAAGAAAAGGGTTTTGGATGCTGGAAAAGAGCAATAGCCACAAGATTGAAATTAGATGTCTCCACCCATATGTAAATGAAGAGGAAAAGCTGACATTATTGTCATCAGTTATTTATACTTGCAGGTGTCAGTGAAAGTGGTCACAAGCTGTGCAGAGCTCTGCACAGAAGTTATGTGTGTGATAAATGCTTGCAGGAAAAGGGTCACTTTACCTGTTTCCTGGTATCCCCAGACTTCTATGTTGATGTGGGTTGCTGCAAGTGTCTGGTGTGTCCAGGTAAGAGTTAAGTTTCCACCAGTGTTGGAGGTGCCATAGTATTGCCATTTTGTCTCATTTACCAACGTGCATTTTTCTTCATCTGAAACTTTGCTGTGATGTACTGCATTGCAGAGCAGAAAAAGAGGGTTAATGACATTTTGGCTTTGCAGAGTCCTGAGAAAGTGCTACTCTATCATTTAAGATTTAGCAGGATTTCCCCTGGGTATGTTTTACTCAGCATGGGATGCATGACATGAAAAGAATAGGCTGAAGCTGAGAGAATGCAATGCTTACTAATACTTGCAGTCCTTAGAATGCAACACCACAATGCAATTATTTGAAGAGAGGACAAAAAGGGACAGAAGTAGGGATGAAGTGGGAGCTGTTTTGGTCAACCTCATTTTTAAACAGAACTTTTTATCAGTTAATGCTGCTGCTGCTACTCAATTGCTGTGCAAGTTCAACTCTCAAAAGATGAATTAACATGAGGCTAGTGAGACTTCCTTTTCTGAGGCCTGTTAAGGAAAAATAAAACTGATCAAAAGGAAAAGACTTCTGTAATCTTGCATGCATGGAGGAAGAATATAGGAAGAAGAGGGATGCTGTAGATATAAGTAACCTGATAACCAAGTTCCAGAGTAGGGAAACGTTGCCCCAGCATCTGTAGAAACTTCAAAAGGGATGAAACCAGTCTCATAAAGCAATGGAGAGATGCAGTGGGCTTTTCCATCCTTGTCAATATAGCCACTGGTTCTGATTTGCTTCTTGAACCTGTAGATGTTGAAAACACTTTTCAGTGTCAGCACAGATAGAAGGAAAATTCTGAATGTGCTTCAGCAAGCAACCTTTTGTCATGTGTGGATCATTTCAAGTCTGGGGCTGTTTTGCTTGTAGCAGGGAATATAAACTGGGAAAATCTGCTCATTACATCAATGTGAATTCTGCTGTGAGCTGCACAAATATACAGCAATCCACAAACCTTCAACTTACTGTTTAATTACTAGGGGAGTGAGACATGATAAATTAGCAACAAAGGGGCAACAGGAAGAGGAAAATAACATTATAGCATTAGTAGGATTACAGGGTGGCTAACAGCGACCATGATGCAGTAATTGCAAATTTCTGGTTTGTTTTTTTTTTTCCCCTGGTAAGTCCTGTGAGGGCACTTAAAAGCAATTTCATGCTCTTCTAGATTTTCTGTTGCAAAGGTTAACTCAGAAGGCACTGCTTGTTATTTAACCATTTGATTCTAGTTAGGGCTCTTGCCCAGAGTCCTAGGGGATAACCCCACATGTGATTCTTCAAGCCTGATATATTTGGACTGAATATCTACTCCAAGTATCAGAGGGAGCTGGGGCCTGCCAGGAAATAGTACCTTTGCTTTTCTGCACTGGAATTTGCCTTGGCTATAATTATGTAACTCTGCAGGCACACAGTTTTGTTCTACAGAATGAATGCCTTTGGTCAAAGGTTTTCCAAATAAAGAATTGAAAACCTGTTCAGGTACTGCTACCCAGATGGGAAGGACTCCAAATTCTCACTCAGAACCTTCTGTGGAAATAATAGCACAACATCTGGGTCATCAAAATTCAGTGTACTGTATGTATTGCATGTGCCACTGTGCACCTAAGTGTGATATAGGCTGACACATTTAGGATCCACATCTTTCTCTTACAGGAAAACATCAGCTGTCCTACCTACATTTCTGTCTTGCTGTTTTCTCATTCAGATTAAGAAATAAATACTTCTTTCCCACAAAGGGAAACACTAAAGAAATATTGACAATCAAGTGCTCTGAAAAGAAACTCTTTTCAAAAAGTCACTGTTTTAATATGTTAAGGGAAGAATGAGCAGAGTTATGACTGTACCACACAATAACTCAACCTAAAAAAAACAATCCTGTGTAGAAATACAGTCAACAGGTATCCTTAAGGGTGAGAGTGAGCAGAACTTTTGTACTTTTCAGGATTCTAACAACTTTACAAGTTTTCACTCCTGTATAGACTGGTCTTGTTTTGTGCTAATTGCCTATTTTTGGAGAGTGAGATTATAAAGTTTTGCCTCCCTTTGGCAGAGGAATATAAAATCACGGCCCACCTGCATTTTAGCACAGAAGAGGGATCAAAAGCTGTGTTGTTAATCAAAAAGTCTTTGCCTCCCATAAGAGATCCTGAGTATGGAGAAATTTGAAGACAGAATTCCTTATAATCAGGACAGCATGTCCCCAAGGACTGGCATGTCACCTGGCAAGAACAGGTACCAAGCAGCTCCCCACATCGCTGTGCACAAGAGTCTTGAGCTCCTTGTTAAAGGAAGAAAAAAAAACCAGTCAGGAATGTTATTGAACTCTTCTAGATGTTCTCTGAAGCACAAGTACATCACCCAAAGGACTGCTGTAAGTAAATAAAATAGCCTGGTTATGTTAGTTTAGGAGTGTATTTAGGTGAAGGTTGTAATCAACTGCATATTAAGGTTGCTCCATTTTGAACAGCAAAATACATTTATTTACTTCCCAGACAGTATATAATTTCATGAATTCAATGGGTATTTTTACATGTAATAGACAGATAAGACAGATAAATCTCCAGAGCAGCCCCTCAGTGAGTGTCACTAATTACATCTATTTTTGAGAATAAGTCTTAAACATATCAGAACAGGGGAAAGTTAACATCAGCAATGAAATGGGCTCCAACACAAGTTTATTAAGACCTACTTAAAAGTTTTTGTTTTGTGCATTTCACTTGAGTCTGGCCTTTACAAGGCAGGTACACAGACAGGTGAGCAGGCTCTTGGCTTACAGACTGTCAGTAATTACTGGACACCACATGGGAAACTACTCAACAAATAAAACAGTGAGAAGAAGACAAGACATTACAGTAACACTGTCAAAAATAGCAGACATTTAAGGGGAAGTTAATTGAGATGAACAAGCTGCAGAGACAACTGGGAGCACTGAGGACCTTTTGGGAAGTGGAATCTTGCAAGGATAACACTGCTTGGGAACTATATCAAGAATACCATGCAGTGCTGAGATGATCTAGGTAAGTATCAGAAATTCTAAACGTGGACATGGGTCTTGCAAAATTGGAACCAGCTATGAAAAGCTGGAAGATTGATTATTTGGGAGGACACAAGCAAAAAGAAATGCAGGGATCAAGGTGGGTGGTGAAGAACAAGCACAGGAAAATGCAAAGAAGGGAAGTAAAAACACTTGTTCAATATGGGAAGCTAGAAAGTTTTTCTCTGTCTTGAAATATATTTGCTCCATTCTCCAGATTGTCTGTTTATTTACAGAAGAGATCCACTGGCCTGCTGGAAATTACAGAGGAAGAGACTGAAAATGAAACCATGCAGGTAAAAGCTGGCCTGTGTGTCTTTGGTATCAACAATTTCTCACCTGAAGTACAATTTCTTATTCTGAAGTAGAGAAGTCAAAAAAGTTTGCAGTTAAAAGCAGCAAAATGTTTGAAAATCACTTACCTGCATTCCAAAGAGCAGTGAGGGTGGAAAGAATGAAGAAAGAAACATCCAAGCCAACGAATTTCATATTTTGTCCAGATGATTCAGGATGGCTGATTGTGGTAGTCCCTGTGCTAGTCTGGAAAAAGCCTTCAATGGAAACGGGTGTCCAGAAATAAACAAGATTCTCGCTGTTCAAAGGTTTGTTGTAAATTACTGAAGCAAAACAAATTGAATGAAATGCTCCATTTCAGAGGTCATCTCCAATCCAGGAAAAGATTGAAGGGGAGATAGTCGCTGCAACTCCTTCACATTAACAGTCAAGTTTTTCTGAAAGGGGGGTAGGTGTTTATTGTTTTACGAGCATTTCTGCTTCAAAGCTCAAGGCCATGGGGTCATTGGCAAAAGTTCTATGCTTTAATTTTGCTGCAGGAGCTAAAACCTGTTATCACTTAGGAGAATGATAAAGAATACGTGCTGACAGTACAGTTTAGTTCAGAAGATGATGAGATACTGAGGAAGCATGCTTACTGCACTGGATGTGACAGCATGAGGGCTGATTTAAATGAAGGTAGACCCCTCCTTTTCCCTCATTTTAAGAGGTTAAATTGAAGAAAACTCACCCCTTTTCATCATTTTAAGGGCTTAAATCAAAGGGTTCCCCTCCATTTCAGAGCACTTCTGCCTGTTCCCCAGCACCACGTCTCTCGTGTGGGAGCAGTCCTTGGATATATGCAGTTTTGGAGGTGGAATTGAAATTCCAGCAATGGGATCCAGGCGGAGAATGGCAGCAATGCCAGCTCCTTTCCATAGGAAGGAAAGCAGGCAGCCCCAGTGTCTCCGGGGCGGGTGACAGGCTGTCCTGGGGAGGTGAAGCCCCAAGTCCTCTCTGTCCTGGCAGCTTTTGTCTGGGAGCAATCCTCGGGTATATTGGATTTTGTGGGTGGAATCCGAGCGGCGGGCACATGAGCAGTGCCTGAGATGCCTCGCTGGTGGCACCTGGTGACTCACAGCGCTACTGCAAAGCACAAATGAGCTCCTGGGCAGCGCTTGCAAGGGAAATTCGTGCTCAGAAACTGCAAACCATCAACATGCACAGGAACAAGAAACTGCAGGCTGGAGCTGGGCTCCGAAAGCAAGGGAGCTGAAAGTGTTTCTTTGGACAAACCCATATGGAGAAATTCCCTTTTTGTCTCATCAGTCTGGGTCTGTAAGAGACAATAGAGTTGTTAGTAGCACTTAAACATCTCAAATGTTTTTATCTCTCAGGGAACTGGGCCAGCACTGAGCTATTCCCATGTGCCTGGAGAGCTCTGGGGAGGGGCAAGATGATGTCCCACTTCTGTCTGGGAAAAATGGCAAGAAAATAAAACGTAGTTTCCCTTCTCTCACTGAAGGAATTCTGTAGGACAACATGGACATCACTGCTCCCCCCAGTTTGGGTGAAATATTGATATCGTTTATAAATATTCCCTCTCCTCAGTCCTTCACTGCACAGAGAGGAAATTTACTCTGTCCTTTGTTCCCAACAACACCTTTCCAGCCCAAATCCCAGTTCTCACAGGCACAAACTAAACAGACCTAAGACGTTGGTTCAATCATGGCCTGGAATTCCCAGCTCCATGTTCTCTGGATTGCTCAAGCAAACACTCACAGCAGTCTCGCCTCAGCCCAGAGACTGAGCTCAGACTAAGCCCATCACCAGTGCTGCTGGTTCAGATCACAAAGATGTAGGAGCAGCAATGCTGGGGCCCTGCTGGGATGGCCTTGGCATGGCTTTCCCACTGCCACTGCTCCTAGAGCTGTAGGCTCTTAGGCTCTCTCAAGCCTAAGCCTAGCCCCAGCCCTCACAAAAAAGAATGCCTTGTGTAGGCTGTTGAGTCCTCTACTGGAAGGGAGGGAGCAGCTCATCAGGAATGCACTTCCTCCATCTCTCTTGGCTCTGGAACACCTTCATTATCATGCACAACCAGGATAAACAAGTGAGATTGGAAACCCTCTAAGCAAAATCCGTGCTCGGGCGAGTAGAGCTTTGCAGGACCCACGCTAATCCTGCTCTACAAAGCACATTCCAAACATTTGGCACCTCCTGCATTTATAGGAATGAAGGAAGTCATGTCCCTACTGGCCTTCACCTCCTTCAGGGGTACAGATGGGCCCTGCCTCTCAAAGCTCTTGGCCCAGTGAGCCTGCCAGGGAAGCAAGCTCATGGCTGCCCTTGGAACCTGTCTCTAAATAGTTTCATTCTGGCAGGATGATGTAGTGGAGCCTGGCTGTTATTGCTACCCCCTGGGTCACACAAGGTAGCAGTGACGTGATGGAACAACTTGGGCTCTGTCACAGCAACTCATCTGTCACTGCCCCGCTGAGATGCGCAGCAGAGCTGCTGTCAGTGCTTGGTGCAGAGCAGGATGGTCCCAGTGCTGCTCCAGCGCCCACAGCAGGAGCTGTTTCTCCTTAGGAAACTGAAATGCTTTTTACCATGCTGCCAAAGGCCATCTGTCTGTTTATTTGCTGCTGTCCACCCTGCTGGGAGCTGGTGCAGATCTTTGTGCTTTGCCCTCTCCTACCGGAGCCTTTGGCATGGGCAGGAGGAGGTGGCTGCAGCTGGGTGAGCTGGCACCTCTGCAGATCCTGGGCAAAGCCATTTGGTTAATGCATCTCCTTCCATGGGAAGGAAGACTGAAGACTGGTACAGGCTGACTTGGGAAGTGCTGCCAAGAGATTGCTGATCCTTCAGCAATTCCTGTTTTCTTTGGTCCCTACAGGAGGCTGCCAAGAGAAATGAGCTTGACCAACACCTGCAGGGGCTGCTTTACCAGCTCTGAAGCAGCATCCCTGCTGCTCTGCTCCCAAAACATAGGAAGGGCTCTCATGCTGTCCTGAGCCTTGCAAAACAAGTGCTGAGTTTTACTTCCACTCTGCTCCCCACTTTCCCGTCTGTGTCTCTGAGGGTGAAGAAGCAAAGAGCTGCCAGCAGGCTGCACTGCCAGGCAGAGCTGAGTGTGCTCCTGCCCACACTATCTCAGGTTTGTTTGGGCTGGGCCAGGCAGGTGTGCCCAGGGGAGCTCCAGGGCTGTACCCGAGTGGAAGATTGCAGAGAGAAAGTGCTGCATTGTTCTCTGCCTGCAGCTACCTTGCCTGAGCCCAGCTCTGAAGCATGCTGGCACAGAGGGATGTGAAGAGCTGTGGTAAATGTTAAGGAATAATTCTAACATGTATCAGGAATACCCAACATAGCACTGAACTTCTGAAGTCAGATATTTTGGGTGTTCCCAGCACTGCAGCAGAACAGTTTGTGTAGCTGCTGTGCCTGGTTGAGCCCATTGCTATGCACAGAGCAGCAAAGAGAGTGTTGCTATTGGACTTTCCTTCACTTCTTACTTCTTGGAGCCACGATTGCAGAGCAGATTAAATTCTTTTTAATGTCAGAAGAAAGGCCTAAATGCAGTAGTTATTATTGTTTAGTATTTGGCAAACCATGTTGGATTAGGGCAGGGTGAACAGTAGGAGAAATATCAGAATTCCATTCTAATATTGCCTTTTATATGGATTACAAGTTATGTCACTAGGGACTCATATTCCAAACTGGAGACAAGCAGCCCCTTGTGACTGCTGGTGAAATCCAGCAGCAGGAGGGAAAATGGAGCAGCAGCCAGCTGGGGAGACAGTGCGTTCCCAGGAGCAACTCAGCTCATCCTGGGGCAAGTACAGGTCCCTGCTCACAAACTTCTGTGGTGAATGTTTGACTCAAGGCCTGTCTTCTGAATCCTTTCCTCAGTGCTCCCAAGCTTCCCTCCTTGGGCCATCAGCCAAGGAATCAGGCATATCAACCAACAGACCGTTTGTTTTTCCAGGGGCTGTGTAAATTGTGCTGCTGTTATCAGTGAAACCAGGTCTGCTCGTGGCCTCCTGCTCTGCGGGCGGTGGAGGGCTCTGATCTCCTGCTCCTGTGGCTCTGATGTCCTGCTCCTGTGGCTCTGATCTCCTGCTCCTGTGCTTTCTGAGGGTGGGGCAACAGCTTGCATGAGTTTCCAGAGCACCAAACACGAGGTGAGCACTCTGTAACTGCTTCCAGAGACAAGCTGGCCTTACCACAGCTGTGTATTTGGACTTGCAGCAGATGTGAGAGTGGTAGGACATCATACCTGTGTGGTTGTGCAGCCAGAATTGTTGAGCTTTCCAGTGGTCTTGCCCTTGCTCTGAAATAAGGACATGAAAATGCTGTTCTTTTGAATGTGCTGTTTATCTGGTTAAAGGCTTGCTCTGGTCAAGTGGGATGTAACAAGGCTGGAGCAGTTTTGAAGAAGGTCCAGGTCTGGATTTTTGCTCAGATCTGGAGCAATAGATCTATATCTTTTGGTGTTTGATTCAGTTCTGCTCACAGCCCCACAGACAGAGGATTTACCCGTGGGAGATTCTGCCCTGTGCTGTTCTTCATAATCAACAACCACCCTTGATGTACACCCTGATAAGGCTCCAGGAATCCACTCATCCTGCTGTGCTGCTGCTCCAGCCCTGCACACCTGGGCACAGCCCTGGAGCAGCCTCTGCCTCTCATGTGTGCTGATTTGGCTCACACCCAGCTCTGTCTCTCTTTTGCTTCACCCATCCTCACAAAACCAAGCGCAATCTGCTCGTGTGTGTGTGCTTCAAGAGCCCTGCCAGGAACAAAGAGAAGTCCAAATATTTGTGTTGGGCTGTTACTCTTTCCATTCAGGCGATAAATGACAGACTGCAGCAGAGTCTTTGTGTGCTGTGTGGGATTTCCACTGAAGCTGGCTCCAGCTTCACAACCTCACCAAGATGAAACACCTACAATTAACAGCTGGGTTTTAACTGGAGGGAAAATGACTGAGTATGATTGAAATATGGCCTTAAAAAAAAACAAACATCAAAACCCAAAACAAAAACCCACAAACAAATCAAACACACAAAAAAACCCCCCCAAAACAAAACAAAACAACAAAAAAAAAACCCAACCAAACAAACAAAAAAAACCAACAAAACAAACAAAAAAAAAAACCTGAGAAGAATCATCAGATCTTCCCTGTGTCAGATGAGAAGTGACTGGTCTCTGTGTGCATG